CCCCCCAAACACCTTGGCATGCACAGTCGCCAATGTCTCTGGTAGACCAAGTTGTTCTAACGCAACAACAAAGCACTAGCTTAGCAACAAGCACAGAAACAACGGTGAGCGCAGCTCTCACAACAACGACTACAACCACGACTTCAGCAATGACAGCGGTTTCACAACGCAGTTCACCCAAACCTGCACAAACGGAAATTTCGGCACCAGCCCAATCCAAGCAACGCAGCTCAGCGCAAGTTGACCTACTTAATCCAACAACCCGTACATTGACTCAAACGGGTATTGATAGGTATATACAAGTCAAACGAAAATTAAGTCCACAGCAGCAAAAAATTGCAAACCCATCAAAAATTGCAAAAACGAAAACCACTGGCATTAACCCTCTACTGGGAAATAAGTTTGCGATTCTGGACAATGAATGTGACAAAGAGCCGAATGAAGTTTCTAAAGCCAAACCCAAACCCCCGCCTATGTTTAAGGTAGAACTTAAGCCAGAAACAAAGCCAATGAATAAAAACGCAGTGCACCCAATCTATAATCTATGATACCTTCTACACCGAAGAATAACAGTGGAGGAGCCGCACAAGCGAAACGGTCCCGTACAGTGCACAAATTGTCAAGAATTTGGGCACACCAGAACATACTGTATCTTGCGCCCAGTGTGTGTTGCCTGTGGCGACCTTCACGCTTCCGCTTCTTGCAAGGCTATCAAAGATGATGTGGCTGTAAAGAAATGCAGTAATTGCGGAGGTAACCACACCGCCAATTATAGGGGATGCCCTGTATACAAAGACTCAAAGTCTCGCATGAATCAGCGCAACACAGCCGTACGCTCTTCCACCACTCCAACTAGCTCTTATACATACCAACACCTCACGCCATCAACCACTACACCAGGAGCCTTTTTTGCCAATGCGCAGCGAGTTCCCAACGTTTCTTTTGCCGACGCGTTAAAACTACAAACGCAGACAAGCACGGCGAAATCAAACTCCAATCAAGAAACATTTGCAAATATTCAAAGGAATAATACTGAGCAAATGCAGCAGATCCCTAGGTCATATAAAATTGAAAATAAAAAAATGAAATTGTTCGAAATTGTTGTTGCTTGAGATTGAAAATGAGTAATGATGAATAATTGTGAGTAAATTTAAAAATTAAATTGTTTGGAAACGTCAAGAATTTTAAAAGTGACTCTCAGCGGTTCTACCTTACTATATTTTTATCATGAATGACACTACCTTCTTTTTTGTATCATGCACTTTCCCCTTCGAAAATAGTGATTGCTTTTTTGACAATATAAAAATTTTAAAATATTTAAATTTTTATGTCAAATTTTATTTCAATTAAAGCTAAATTACAAAAAATAGGTGGTGTTTTTTTCTGTAGATAATATGGATCCTTACGGCGGATTGCGGCATTAACAGAATCAGTTGCCGACGAGACATCTGAATCAACATTTTCCGAGTCGCTCTGCGGTGGTCAAGACCTGAAAGTAGGAAAATCTCAAATTACACGAGTAGCTGATCACGTGTTCTTAAAATATTTATCCAAATATGGAAGAATTTTAGTCTCCAAAAGCCAAACACCCTCAGTGAAAGCTAAAAAACAAGAAGCGATTAAGCTTATTTCCCATCATCTTTTAATAGACAAGGGTATTGAGTATACGCCACAGCAGGTCAGCAAAAAGATTCAGAACTTAAAAGCTAAGCTTAAAGCAAAAACAGGCGTCAAAC